AAAAGGTGTGTGTCTGTGTGGGAATATCGTCCTTTACAAGTCCAAGCAAACAGGGGACTGGCTGCTAACACGAAATCCATAGAATTGGTTGATGCTACCTTGCACTTCCCTCCTTCCCACCCACCTTATTCGTGCTGGGCTTTTATTGATTGTGTAAGGATTCGTACCTTGGAGTCCCATCTGCAGAATGTTTGCTTCCTTCTTGATTGTTGCAACTGGATCTGCCAAGTAGAGGCAAAACATCTTACTATGTGGTCCCCACGAGAGCAGAGAAATGGAAGTAGCAGTCTAGGAGTGCATTCCGTATATTATGCCCCTCAAACTACCCCATTACCTAAGCTGCCTTACGGAGCAGACGGGCGAACAATGTTTTTTTTTTTCTGTCGGCAGAAAAGGCAGCAAAGGCCAAAATGCAAGCAAACGCAAAAGTGCGCCGTCCACCGCCTCCACCCGCCCTGAAAGCGGTATGGCATCAGGGCAGCCCGAGGCGTCAACACTACGTCTTGATTGGCTCATCTCGGCCCCGGCCATTATCGGGGTCCCCACTACTCCCAGAGTTACCCCCCTGCACCTTCTGTTTTTTCTCCTTCACCGCCCGTCCCACCGTGCCTGTCGTGCCTGTCAACCCAAAGGGTAGGTCGACGCCTTCCAGACCCCTCTTCGTCCCTTCCCCCTCCCCCTCCATCCCATCCACCTCATCGTTCCTGCCAACCCGACTTCAAGTTTCTACTAAAGGTACCTTTACCGTTAAGATCGCGGATAGTGTAGAGCGCTCCTACTACATCGTATTTCCAAGTTTCCGCTACAACCCTCCTTAAATATGATGTATGATGAGCATTTATCTCCAAATTTTCAAACCCGATCAACAGAGAAAATTTTCAGGGGCCGTTCTTGACCCCTCCATTTCGATCCCCGTATGGACTGGCTTGGTCACCCCGTCCTCGGTGTGGACCGAGTTCCCACTTCGCCGGAGCGCAATCGCCGGGCAAAGCTCCACATATAGAAAAAACCTACGGGACACTTCACCTTGCCCGTTTTCTCATGATTGCTCGAGTCACTTCCGTATTCAGAGAGCCCATATCTACTCAATTTGATTTTTTTTAAGGCCTTTGTCTCGTTGCCCCTACACACTGCGCGTACGAGAACTAATGGAGAATGTCGTGTGGTTTATCCGCGTCAACCGCGTCTGAGTTGTAGTAGTTAGAAATAAAGGTCACGATCCCGTCTTTTTTGGCATACGCCCCGCAAAAACGCCGGAGTCTGGGGGTGCTAGTCTGTCTCTATCAACTCTCAACATCAAAGGTCTATTACATCCTTCATGCACTTCAGCAATAATACTCTCCATTCTGATGGCCTGGCAACTACTCGGCTTTTTCGTTAATAAAGCCTTGTATCTGGGATACAAACCCTTTTGTTCACCCCTGTCCTGGTCTCTGGTACTCTTATACTGCTCTAGACCTTGAGCAAGACGATAATAAGTCATTCACGGAGCGACATTTCCCCATGTCGGTAGTTCCTAAGCTGTTGCCCGCAAGATCTGGTGTCGATTTGTAGAGTCACAAATTCGAAGGAAATCCCCATTGAACCCCTTTCCTTCAAGCCTCCAGTAACAGGGTTCATCGCAGCAGCTTTCAAACTTCCAACACCAAGACTTCTACGTACGATGCCAGAGCATCCTTCTTCATCCATCCCATCTTCATTAAGCATCAATCGATACCCTCGAAAGTCATGACTGATGGTCCCCCCCTTCTCGATCATGCCAGATCCGAGAGCATACTATCCTCAGCAGCAGCAGGAAGCCCAACAACTTCCCCAGGGCAATCTTTGCGCCTACCTTATGTTCTTATTACGAGCCGAATTCTCAGGCGCCAGACACTCTATTTCGCATACCTGAGCCTTGATGTGACCAGACTTGAAGCATCAGTGAGTGAGAAACTGGCTCTCCATTTCGAGACGTATATCAGGATGGCAGGTTTAAGCCCGCTAACCTTCCTCCTTCTTGTCCGCCGTTGTCCCAAAAACCCATCTGTACGTTTTCTTGCCTCTTTCATACCCGCACCCACAGCATCGGCAAACCACTAGGTTCCCTCTCTTGGCATACATCGTCGAGACTTCCCAGGTCAAGATCAAACCTCGCCCATCTCGAGGATGTGAATGTTCTCCTCTCCCTTGTAAATCCCAGGCACTCAACTGCCCAAGCCATCATCCCTACCCAGCGAGGCATTTCATCCCATGCTCATAAGGGCCGTGGCAAAAAGACACAGCAACCTTGGTGATCCGATCAGTCTTAGCAGGGCAATGAATCAGGTCAAGTTCAGACCTGTGGGGGAGTGGCGTTGGAGGATGGGAGGACCGACCCTGTTGATGAAATTGGGATTGGGAAGGGGGGGGGGGGCAATCCAGGTAGAGGGATTCGAGTCAGTAGATGGAAGTTGGCGTGGTAGGTGACTTGCGAAGAGAGATCTTGGGATGAGCATTGGGGTGTGTTACTTTGGGGTTTCCTGTGGGCATTTGGGAAGAGATTTGTATGTCATATGAGGGTGCTGTTGCTCTTGTTTTGTCTACATATGGCGGATATCTGATATCATGTAGCTGACCACTTCTCTGGAGACGGAGGTTTGGCTTAGGGGCGTGGAGTATACGAATATCTTGTAGGTGCTAGGTGGACGAAAGGCAGAGTGAGGCCATGTTCGACACCATGGGGAGAGAGGATGCTGAGCACCAAATTGAACTTTTGCCCTTTCGGACTGTTTGTTGTCTTTTGTTCCTAGGTGGCGAGAGACGAAGGAAGTTGAGAAAGCATATGAATAGTTCCTGACTGCCCTGCCCTGCCCCCCCGCCCAATCCTTTTTTCCCCGATGGTGAAAGATCAAATCTGTCCCAACAGGATGGGTTGGTTGCCTGACAAACTCAAGCTTCATACCACGCAGTCGACACGAGCGGTGCACAACTCGCCAGCAGTGGCGATGAACCTTCCGTACCCGAGGGACGGTAGGTGGACAGGGTGACACCTCACATGACCAGGGTGATGCTGGGCAAGACTGTCCAGATGCGACCTGCCGAGTATCAAGACGCGTCTTTAAGATGACAAATGACGAGGAAATGCCCAAGCTGGGATAAGTGATCATTGATATAATCCAGAAACGTTCAATTCATTACAGAAACTTAGTCATCATTCAACAGCCGATAATCGCTGGTTATCATATGCCCAAACGCCAAATACAACAACAAAAATCGCATAATATAAATCCGGTAGATGTTACCACAACTCCAAAACTTTCCAAAAAAATCTGGGTCCAAACGTAACAATCGCCGATATATGCAATACATCAAGTCCGCTCTATTGAGCCACTACTATCCACCCTGGCTACAACATTGTGTGCTTGTTCCCTGTGAAGCCTGCGACGAGCGTGTTAGTTCCCACGTTCGATGTCCCGGCTTGGATAGATATGGTTCCACGATGCGAATAGAAACACAGAACGAATAGAAATAGCGGTGACTAACGAGCTGTTCCGGAAGAGCTGCCCAGGAAGGCTCCACGTGATCCAGGAAGTGTTCCGCAAGACTGGGCAGCCGCAGTCCAGGGAAAGTAGTCCAGAAAGGTAGGGTTGAGTCGTTTGTACCATGTGCCTAGCCTGGCGCTAGTGAACCTCAACCATGCCTCATCTTCAGGTCACAGTGGGTAGTGGGTACCATGAACCGCCAGACTCGTGTCCCATGGCAGGCTGCATTGATGATCGCAACATGCATCCAAAAAGCAACGGATGTTGTCAGGTGCCAAGGTGTGTTTGACCGGCAAAGGCCACTCATGATCGATGGAATGTCTTGGCCATTGTATCGAAATGGCTGGCAGGCCAGGCCATGTATAACTCACCCACATTGGAGATGTATCTCCTCCCAGTAATTTCTTGATTGAGCTCAGTGAGCTAACTCGAGATCCAAAAGGGTTTGGGAGTCTCGGTTGTGGGGGTCAAGGCCTTTCTTGTCCACGGCCACTGTCCAATGGGTGGTACTTCCACAGGCTGGTCCATGAAGCTTTGATCCGGAATCTCCAAAATGTGGAATGAAGTCCATGGTGCGGTGCGAGTGCTTAAGCGCAGATCCGGGTTTGCAAATGGCCAGTTTTGTTTTTCCAGTGGAGAGTAGTTTGCGGTGCAACGAGTCCGGTTGGATGACTGTGACGTTAGGTAAATGAGAGTTCTCAATCATGAGTGTCTCAGATCCTCATGGGGGAAGTTGGCAGAGTATCCTTTCGAAGTTGGTCAAAAAAATTGGCAATCCGTTAACTCACCTTGCTGTCCAGATGCCGTCGCCACCCATTCTATAACGAAACACCATGATGACCCCGAACTCCAAAAGTCCAAGTAGGAAGAATGAAACCCAGACCAGGAGAAGAGAGTAAAATGACATTACATCCACCGCCAGGACGGCTCCAGACAGCAAAGTGGTCCGTGTAAAAAGTCGTCAAAGTCGACTCGGTTCAAGAAAGTACGTCCTCTTCCGTTCCTGGGTTCCGGGCCATAAACACGTAGTAGCAAGTCATACTTGCTGAAAAGAAAAGGTTGATCGAATAGCAAAAATCGTAAGCCCATCCATATATGCAGTCGTAAAACGTCCAGGGGTATGCGCGGCACAATCCATTCTTGGTGAAATCCAGGTCAAGTCCAGGTGAGATCCGGGCAGGATGTAGTAGAACTCGAGACGTAACGGTCCAGGAAGATATGTAGAGCCAGGGAAACTCCGAGGCCGCGCAGAGCCAAAACGCCAGCAAAGCCAGACAACGGAGAGAGCGAGATGCATACTTGCAACTCACGAGGTGATTTCCACACCTCGAATCCAGGAAAAGGGTCTATCCAGAGAAAACAAATGATAAGGAAGCCGACACCGGGAAACGGGTCCAAGACCCGAGATCATTAGGATCAAGTTCATGACAGCGACTCACAGGACGGGCGTCCTGTGCAGTCGGAGTGGCTACAGTAAATTCCAGTGAAGGTAACGTATTAGCGACGCGGGGGGCGATGGCGGTCGGATTGGTGATGCCTGTCGGAATCCCTTTCGCTGCGGCGAGAGTGCGATGATCCACTACTTGTCGTCTGAGCTTTGGAACTCGATGGAGGAGCAGAACCACGGGGTGCAGGGGGCTTATCATACTGTGATCCTCCTTGGCCAGAGAGAGACGGGTGAGCAACACCACCTGCTGGGGACGCTACATAATTAGATTCGGTCCAAGAAGTTGGGTTGGGTACAAAGCTGTATACGCACCGCGTCCGTACATCGGATCAGAAGCCACCGGCGTGGAACCGTACGAGGCTGACGTCGAAGGCGGGTAGTAACCTGTGGGATATCCTGCCGGAACCTGTGATCCGGAAGAGTAAGCCGGCCCTCCTGGCGGAGGCGCCATCGAAGTAGGAGTCCGAGAGGGCTGTCCTGCGTAGGGGTCGGCGGGGTAGTTTCTTTGCGCCGCCATGTTCGCGGCCGTAGCAATGTACGGGGGTTCACCGTATCCTTGTCCCATTTGGCTCTGTCCAGCGTACCTGGGGTCGGCTCTTGGGTCTGGCTGTCCAGAATAGGGATACCCACCACTTGAGTAAGAAGAAGAAGGCTGCTGTTGATAGGAAGGGGTAGATCCAGAGTAGCCCTGGGCAGAGTTCCCCGAGTAACCTGGGGCTTGAGATCCTGGATATCTAGGGGTGCTTTCATAGGAATCACGTCCTACGTCCGGGTAGCCAGTGGAATCCGTGGGACCATAGTGTTGGCGTGCGGAGTGAGTCTCCGACTGGCGGTACCCTGCTGTAGGGGAGTTAGAACGTCTCGACAAAAGAGCCGTCGCGTCTCTTGAGGTAAATGTACCTCCTGAACTATTCCGGGCGGCCTGCTGCCGCCTCTCTGCCTCCCATCGCGCAGAATCGGCCTTCAAGTCGTCGATCATGGCCTACGGAGGCGTTGCATCAGTATACTGGTCGAGCGAAAGGCGACGACAGTGGAGCAAAGCCACTCACTGTTGTTAGGTTTCGGTAGGCGGTGATGTAGTAACCCTGTGAGACTTGTCCGGTCTGGGGGTTCTCGTAGTGACCCGGGCGGACGAGGGCGTCGTTGCCGAGGTAGCGGCAAATATCGGCGGTGATGACCTCGCGATCAATTCCATCTCTCGGAACGAAGTACTCGTTGGAGCGGCCGCTCTGAGGGGCAGACGAAGCCGGAGGGGGGCCACGGGAGGATCTCGACATATTGACGGTTGAAAGCGGGGGGTGGTCTGAGTAGGAGGAGGGAGAAGGGTAACCGGTCGAGAGAGAGGGTCGAGCGAGGCGAGGCAACGTGAAGGTGAGAGAGAAAGAGCAGGAGAGGAAAAAAGAGAAAGAGGAGGGGAAGAGAGTAAGAAATGGGATTGTCGAGATGGCGGGAAGAAAAAGAGGAAGAACGGGAAGGCAAAAGCGGGCAGGGAGTGGGTGGTGGGCGCAGAAAAGGAAGAGGCCAGAGTCTGGCTCTTCTCTTGGGGGTGGGGGCTTCTGGTAGGAAAAACCGGGACCTAGCGGGCAGCGGTAAGTGAAGTCACCGACGTGGACCAGTCAACCACTAGGCTCTGCGTCCAGTGACCAGTGTGGTCAGTGTGGTCAGTGAGGCCCGCCTATGACTGGTCACCAATACCCCTCGACCTCACGTTTTAACTGCGGTTCTGAGCCGTTGAGGCGCGAGGTGTACTTGGTATGGAGTACTGCCCTTGTACCTTTCCTTGCCTTATTTCACTGTTGTTGGTAGCAGCAGCCTGAATGTGAGGTAAGGCCGCCTCATGTAGGCAATTCGAATAACCTAAGCCTATAGACTACCTACACTATGTACCTTACTCACACGACACCCACACACACATCCTCTGCCTCAATCGCTTGCCCTCTCTGCCCTTCCATCTTGCTCTTCCACCCCCCGTGAGATGATGAGGTACGTAGGATGGGAGGCCTTACTCTCCTCCTCCTTCTGTTAAGTCGAACCTGCTCGGGACCGACCAGGCAAGGAAACCACAGGGCTTGCTGGCACCACGTTGCTGACTGACAGTCCCGTGCGGATTTTCCCTCGCGCTCTACCCAAACCCTGGCAACCTAGCCAATATGCCACTGGATCCCCTTAGTGCACGAGGAGGGGGGGCATCGGGGTGGGTTGTGTTGCGTCTACCTATGGTGTGGCCCAAGTCTAGCCTCTTGCTGGCCAAGCGATGATAGCCTGCCTAGCCCAGCTTGCGCCGCCTAGTTCCCGAGAGGAAGACGGACGGCGGGAGGATGAGAGGTATCCCATTGTACATCTCAAGCTATACGTCCCAGCCTCAGTCAAGGTACGCACGGTACAGATGGATACGCAACGAATACCTGACCAGCCAGCAGAGGCGGTAAGAGCCACCTGGCGGGACGGTACGCGAAAAGCAGAAACCTGGTGCAAATGCTCCGTACGGATACAGAGAGGCGGAGAGCGGTTGGGCGGTAGCAGGGAAGAATGGGTGGCGGCCGCTCTGAGTGGATGGAGACGGGATGAGGTGCAGGCTTGCAGCTTTGAGAGAGGTTGGGAGGTTGGGTTGACTGATCGCGCTGCCCAAAAGGGTTACCGAGGAACTTCCCTGCGTCGTGCGCGCACTACCTATGAACAACAAAATCTTACTCACGTCTGTCCAAGTCCAGGACAGCCCCAGGAAACGTCCCGTCCGGGGGCTTTCGATGCTCCGTTTTAGCGCGCACCACGACCACCACTTGGGTGGCCCCGATGACTAGGACCGCATCAAACAGACATCCACGGTGACGTGCGTGAGTACGTCTGGATAGGTACAGTAGTACAGTATTTGCGCTTGTGAGAAGAAGCAAACATGCGAGGGCTGTTGGCGCACACGCACTCGTAATTCGCATCCAAACACTCAGTTGGTATTCGTTGGAATATTGAGGCCTGCCTTTACCTGCTTTTGTCGCCATTGCTGTACAAACAGACGCACGTAAGGCGAACGAAAGGCAATGAAGGCGGGCCAGCTTGGTACATGCTCTCAGGCTGGCCAATAACCCAGCCTGAAAGATGCAGCAGCCAAGCGGTCCTTATACGTGGTATAATGTCGTGTCAAGCTCCAAAAGGGTAGAGATGAGACAGACGGCATGATGGCGAGCTGTTGTGAGATCCAATGCGAAGGTTTGTCCTCCATGTTACAGCAGGCTCGAATTTCGCTGCACCGGGGGGGTCGGCTCAATGGTGCGCGTATTATTTGTTCCTGCCTCCGCCCCTTAGAAAGTCGAAACTCGTCCAATGCGACACGGCATGTCGAGGCCCAATCGAGAGAGTTGCGTGCGGGAGATGCTGTTGAGCCGAAAACGCGAGAAGATTGGCAGCAGCTCGAAGTAGATTGATTCCAATGGCCTATGGTCGTCCTTGGGGTGTCTGAGATCCGCCATTCCCCTTGATTGAGCCCAACCCTTCTCCTAGGACCGGGTATCGTGAGGTCCGGTGCTGTTGCTTGCCTCATAGCCTATAGGGGGTTCGAAAAGGATCCAGACCTTCCGCCCCAAATATTCTTGTTTGAGAATTTGGCGTAGCTGAGGCTGAATTACATTCATCGGCTTGGGATGAAGTGGTTTGGAGAAGATGTGGCTCGTGAGTAGTCCCTTCTAGACCGTCGTTCTATGGCGTTTTGGGCTGTTCTTGTCAAGGATGTATCGAGAAGACGTTTGACTACTTTGGCGTAGTGGCGTTTTCCAACATCCGCTAGGCCATTTCCTTGAGCGGCAGTCTGCTTGCCGAGGCTAAAGAAGAAGTGTGTACTCTATTGTGTCTGTGTAACTTTGGAAAGTCGGGCAGGATGCTACGGGAGACCGCTTGGACATTACAATCCGTGTCGATCCCCGTTGAACAAGCTGGGAAACATTCGTGGACTTCAAAGGCTAATTTCTTCTGGAAACAGGTAAGTGTTAGATGCAGAAACCAGTCCGTAAGTGCATGTATAGTCTGCGCGCTTGGAATCCAAGCGTGTGAGCCAGTGTCGAAAGTTGCGTTTTCTGGCAGACTCGATTTGGCAATTCCCCAGCAACTCTCCAGCCCCTGATGACCTCCTTGCCTATGTCAGCTTGCCAAAGGCAAGAATGGTTAGACGATGCAAGCCTGGAGTCTGACTTGTTTTTTTCTTTCTGTCCCTTTCAATTTCCTCAAGTCTGACTGACCGAGCTGTTGGTACCCTACCAGGACGGGATATCCCAGCCTCAGACGGCGACCAGCCGGCGCGCTTTTCAGGGCGCAAAAACTACTTATTTGATGCTCCTCATTGACAGTCATGACACCCGCCCCCCCCCCCCCCGCCGCTGACTTCTATGAGAACCCCGTGGCTGTGGAGCGTGGGACGACGGACGTTCGTTTCCTGGGACCCTTGCCCTCGACTGCCGGCCATTTCGCGACTTGACGGCGCAGCATGCCGTTGCTTGCCCTGTCTCTTGATCGTCCGGCGGTTGCTGGCGGCGTCCTCATCAAAAATTGACTTCGCCGTTGCTGCGAACCCACTCAGGGTCGGCGATGTGGCCCCATTGCATCGCTGCGAAGCGGTGGCCTATCGCTTCCGACTGCCGGGAATGCCCCGTCTCTTTTCCTTTCCAGTCTCCATTTTGTCCGCGATGGTCCACGGATCAAGACAAGGCGAGTGCGTGCTTTTTTCCCGCAAACGCTGATTTGTGTGGTTAGTACGGATACGGAGACAGAGTAGTGTTGCTAGTCGGGGAGTTGGTAACGGTGCGTCGGTGCCAGGTGGTGGTTGGCAACGTTGGGTATCAATGCCTCGCGCCAAAAATGTGGCCCAACCCACCTTGGCCCAAAAGATGCCTAACTAGCAACCAATCGCTTGCAGACGTCATCCGGATTGTGTCAATCCAGACGCAACCAAAACGATGCGTGAACCTCGATCCAACAGTATCACGGAACCGGCCTCGATCAGGGATCCGATGTGCACCGGTCTCCTCCATCCAGAGCACAAACGTACTGGATGCCGTTTTCTTATTCAAGATTTTGTATTCATCTTTGTAAATCGTGAGTCCGAAGCCTTGCTCGCTGGCACTGCTGCCCCTGGCGCTCCCAATATTGGTTCAACCCGTGGGTCATGAGGATCCGGATGCGTCGCGGAAGGCTACAGGCGGGAATTGGAATGACGACACTTGCGGGTAGTTTCGATCCACATGTAGCCATCCAACTCGTCGGTTGCGCCTGCGGAGACGCTCAACCACATGTATGTCCCTGTCCCGTCAGGCCGTTGTGGTTCGCCAAGTTGATCCGTCCTCATGTCTCATATGACCACGACCTCCGATAGACTGTAACCCGGCGCAAGGCCGGAAGCAACGCCCAGGTCCGCGACTGAGTCTACTGTGAGACAGGATTGCTTCCCAAATTGCTGTACCGGGTGCCCAACTGGGCAACAACGGATAGCCATACCGGGTCCCGAAGTCATGTCGTCCCTGCCCGGTGGGTACCCTTGTGTAAGACTCGCCTCATAATTCGCTCGGTGAAGCTTGAATTTGGAAAGAAAACGCCCATCGGTGATGATTCCTCAGGTTCGTCGGGGGCTTTGCCGTCAATCTCCTGTACTGCGGTGACCCTTGGACCAGGCCTCAGGGCGTCAAAGTTTACCAACTTCCAAGTCTCGTTGCGTACCAGGCGGCAGGACCCGCTCGACAGACTTTTGGCGTGATGTTGGCAAAGACGGGCATATCACCAGGATTCATCCAAACTTCAGTCTGCTCTGTCCATGCTCGAGCTTGCCGCCGCGGCCCCCCCGCTTGGCCGAAGTTCCTGAAGTCTTTGGGCCAGAGCTGCGGGTGGCAGATGAGTGCTGAGCAAGTGTGGGCTTGCCACGTTCCTGGTCTTGTAGATCTTTGGCAAAATGCCAATCCTCGTGGCTTTGGTGCTCCTCTGGCGTTTCAAACCCCGTATTGCACCGCGAGCATACGAAGCCCGTGGTTGGCACCTCATGGAAGCCACCATTGCCTTCCTCGTGCGCCAGACTCGTACCTGGAACAGCCATGGAAGGCTCACCTGACTTAGTCTCTTCTCGGGATTTGATATCGCTCTTCGCGGATGCACCGTCGGACGGCATTTCTTCGTCAGTGGAAACGTTACGTGCAAAGAAGCGATGGATCGCCCCTCCCTCCGTCCGACGTTTCTTTGGCGGCTTTTCTTCAGGAATGGGCATATCGCTTGCTTCGCGGCTACTCTGCCTTAGCGCCTGGGCTTCCTCTCCTTTCAGCAAGAAAGCGCCGATGCCCATGTTGCCTGTGATGCCGTCTTCGAAGCCGCCCACGCTTAAGCTGAGGTTGGCGCATGGCCAGACGTTGCCTTCCCCTATTATTTGGTTCAAGAGGTTCTTCGCAAGTTCGAATAAGGCTTGCTCATCTAGTGCTTTGCCCTGGGGTATTGGGCCTTGGCGCGATTTCATTTGGCCGCCATGCCGGTGGTGCAAGTTTATTGTCCTCGGCCTACGCCTATTCTCCAAAACTCCCTCTTCAACCAAGCGGGCGAAGATGTCGGCAGCAAAGATCCTCAGCCAGCGATGGGCTTGTTCCGGGGTGTTGATGTAGGGCCGAAACGATTTTGCCGATAACATCGACTTGATTTGTGTGCGGGAGTTGACATCACTAGCGTCGATGCCACGAATGGTATTGAAAACCCAGCTTCCGGTGTCCTGACCTAGCTTTGCTTTCATCTGATCCAGAGGGATGGCCAATAGCTCTTCGACGGCGTCAGTGTTGAAGGTTGAGACCACGTTTTCGCCAAGCTTCCCCCCGAGATTGCGTATCTTGGTGAACTTGAAGCCTGACAGAAATTGGGCCACGGCTCGGTTTCGAATGACGGTCTGCTGGTTGGGCTTCTTGTGCCCGGAGCCCAACTTGCTCAACAGCTTATTTTTGGCAATACCTCCGGAGCATGTGTAGTGTAACTTCTCCAGGATCTGTCTTCGGACATCGCGGACAATCTCAGACCCAATAAGGATCGCCACGTCGTCCCAGTCTGGGTCCACGGACTCCTCCTCCTCATTCAGGTCGATGAGAGCATCCGCTTGCCAGTCCAGGGCTGCCACGGACGGGGCTGGAAGATTCTCCGTCGGATCGTCGTAAGGTGGTGGGTTTCTCAGCTCGGGGAAGCGTTCCAGGAGAACTGCATGGACATGTGCGGAGAGATCAAGGAAAACCTCGTCAATGCTGGCCTTTTCAACCTTTTGCTGATCCGCAGGCAAACTTTCCTTGATGACTGCCAGAATCTTTCTGCACTGAAGGCGGTACGGATCGAGAGAGACTTTGTCGCTCTGGATGTTGGCAGCAGCATCATCACGGTATGCCCACCTGTCGTCGCCTTCTCGCCAAGTTGCTACATGCTGGGCAACTAATGTAGGGCATAGCTTCTTCGCATCCGTCAAAGTGCAATGACGACCGATGCCGTGCTCACGTGCTGGATAATTGACAGCAATTAATCCTTGCCTTAGGGTTGTTAGTTGACAGAATGATCAGACGGAAGGGCCACGTACCATTGCTGGACAGCCAAAGGCTGGTCCTTAGGCACGCCCAAACGAACCATCTCGCATTGTGCATAGAAAGCATCTAGGTCAATGTGGGCTACAACTCGTAAGGGGCACGATGTATTGTAAGTCGCTAGTTGGGACAGTTGTTTGAAGGTGAACTGAGATTTGCGTCTGCCGATGCCGGGGATAGGGGAAGATTCCCGGAAGGGCTGTGAGGACGACATGATATCACGTCGGTAGGCGTCGTGAGGCCCCCTGCTCGCTTGCCGGATTCTCAACGGCGTATTTCTTGGGTCGACATGGACCGGACGTCGTTGACAGCAAAGTAGATAAATAGAATTCTCCTTCTCGTCCACTTCCGATTAATCCCTCGTTTTCCAACAACACAAAGGCCCAGTGCAGCCGTTTGTCTGGAATCGATGAGATGGTTGATGTGTTGTTGCACGGATAATTCTTATACGCAGAGATTAGCAGGTCGTTGAGGTAAACGCGCCTGCAAACGCGCCTGCCATTTAGTGTCTGTCGAAGCTAGGTACGTACACTTGCAACAGGTCAGGTTTTACCGAGAATTCAATTGGTCAGCGGCACTTTAGGGATCCACCTTTAGCCAATGATGACCCGCAGACGTCCGGGCTCGCAGCGCTCATCCTTCAACCTCCTACAACGACATCGGCTCCATCTACTTTAGAGAGGGAAGGCTTCATTACATCTCAATCTCATCGTCCGACGACATGAGGCTGCATACCACTTGGTTTCGTCAACATGCCATTACTCTGCTTTCTTCGTCGTTGAGTCCCTTGAGGACAACAGTCCATCTTGCACGAACTCATTGGGTGCTCTTAACACTCCTACTTCATCCTCTCGCGATTCGCCATTGAGGAAATTGCTACGCCGCGATGCTGCATCATTCGTCCGCTTATTTAAGCCGCTATCAAGTCTCATCAGGCTCGTGCAAAATCTGCATCTTGGCTGGTTCCCTATCAGGATCGTCTCTGCATCCTTCTTCGTCATTACCCTATATCTAGCTTATAATTCGGACACGCCGATTCAATTCTTCACGTGTGAACATCATCCTCGCCCTCTCTCAACGTTTGAACTAGTCCTGGGAGGTGCGGTCACACAGCTGCAACCTTCATGATGGTGTGTCGTATGTCAGCTCTTGGAAGACGCAGCCTCGGCCGTGCCAAGAAATACGTTTCAAGACATTCCTAGCTCTAGTGCTCCGTACATTGCGCGCCTTTCCAGCGCCTCATAAGTTTATGAATGAGAAAGGCGCCCATCAGGCAACAGCCGTAAAGGCAACACGAGACTGCAAGATCATAATTAAAGCACGCCGCGTGCCGAGCTTTAAAGCATCACAAATACCTCGAGCTGAATCACTCAGTGGATCATGGTCTCTTGTACCTTTGATGCTCTGTCTCAGCCTCCAAGCCGAGAATATTTTGTTTCTGGTCTACCGTCACCAGATGGTCTGAGTTGAAGAGTCCAGCGAGCCTGCTGCGTCTACATCGTTCTATAATCGACCCCAACGATATCAGCAGCAGGCTGCGAGTCACTGATTCGCACATTGTTTATCCAAAGAAGCAGGTGGTACAGAATCCAGAGTCAGTCTATTCAATCTAATTTCCCCACTTCACCTCTGATTATACTAAGCTTCATGACATACCTACCTCATCAAGACGTTCTACCTTCTCACTTACCTGGCAGATCACGGAGATCAACACTCGTCCTCCGGTTCTCAGACTGCATGCCGCGTCTACTGCCCTAGCGTTAGCGTTTAATTGACCAATCTGAAGAGAAGAGAAAAATGAAGAACAGGCTGCATATCTCCTCGCACATGGGGACTGGTCATGACACTGCGCCGGCCGCAAAGCCTCGCTGCCGCCGACCACGAGGCACGGCATCCCACCACAAGTAACGGAGGATAAGACACAAATCCGCTTCCATATGTAACCCCACGCTTCACGTA